CAAGCCTCCCCCATTATCCACATCCCCCACCAGAGTGGTACATATGTTACAATCAATGGACCTACATTGGCACACCGTTATCACCCAAAGTTTATGGTTTACACTGGAGTTCACTCTTGGTGTACACCCTACGAAGACCCCACTTTTTACAGGTTTGTTGTGAGAACTGGACTCTATCTGAAATTCCTTGGACTTAATTTGTGGCAGTTGTTAAACAATGCTCACTCCTCTCCCGGTTTTCCTTGGAACCTCCCAATAGCAACCTAATTGAATGGGAAGTTTGATCACATCAAAGAATTGACTCAGCTTAGGGCTGGCATTGTCCAACTTGTGTCACTACTCTAAGAAATGGCCTTGTCTCCAGACCAGAACTCACCATAACATGATCCTGAGGTGGGTCAGTCCATCACCCATCCTTTGTCTCCTGTTTCAGTCTAAACAATGGAGAAGAAGCCCTGCTATCTGCCCAGGGAACTCGTGGTAATTGGTGCACTATACGTAAGTGTTTGCCACGTAATTGCAAACACCATTGTTTCTTCCAGTGGAACACTGTTCTATAAGTTACAGCGATGAGGGATTCCACCAGTGTGGTTGGCAAGGTCTGCGCTTTAGTTTGAAGTTCATGGTGCCACCTCTGTTATGCAAAGAACTTGGCCAGGGTCCTGAAGTAGAAAACGAGGAGAAGGCCACAGGTCCAAGAGTTTTCTTTTTTGAAACGGAGTCTCGCTCTGTCACCCAGGCTGGAGTACAGAGGCGTGATCTCCACTCACTGCAACCTCCGCCTCCTGGGTTCAAGCGATTCTTCTGCCTCAGCCTCCTGAGTAACTGGGATTACAGGCATGTGCCACCATGCCCGGCTAATTTTTGTATTTTTAGTGGAGACGGGGTTTCATCATGTTGATCAGGCTGGTCTCGAACTCCTGACCTCGTGATCCACCCACCTCGGCCTCCCAAAGTGCTGGGATTACAGGTATGAACCACTGTACCCAGCCAGGTCCAAGAGTTTTCTAATCATCAGAAGACCAAATGGGGCAGACACGGCCAGCTGTTCACTAAAACCTATTTCATCCTTCTCCAGTAGTAGGGCTACAATTCCCAGCCTTCCTGTGAAGAGCTGTGGCCATGTGACCAAGTCCCAACTGTATGGGAGGAAGTTGTGGATGTCACTTCCAGGCATGGCTCAGGAAACATTGTTCAGTGCTTCTCCCTTGAGCTTCTTTCTCCTTTGGACTGACTGGAGCCAGGCCTTGATGGCCCATCTTTGACCACGCAGATGATGATAAAACCATCAGATGGCAAAACCGTCTGCTACCATAGATGACTCTATGTAGTAGAGCTCACCTATCCATCTTGGACTGATTTGTGGGAGAGAAATAAACTCCCTTGTTTGAGTCCTTGCATTTTATAATGCTAACGTTAATGAGATATCATTTACACATGGTGAAATACACAAATCTTACGTGTACAGTTTGGTGAATTTTAGCAAAAGTATACACCCCTATAACAACCAGCCTAAACACTATATAAAATACTCCCATCTTCCCTGTAAGTTCTCTCGTTACCCTTTCTAGGCCATGCCTACCTCTGTCCCCACTCCCCAGGTAAACACTGTTCTGATTTCTCTCAACTTAGTTTTGCCTGTTTTTGAACTTCATATAAATGGAACCATACAGTATGAACTCTTCTGTATCTGGCTTCTCTCATTCAACATAATGTTTTTGAGACTGATCCATGTTGTTAAATGTTTTCAGGAATTTTCTTGTTTATGGTGAGTAAAATTCCAATGTAAGAATATACCAGAAATTGTTTATCCATTCTCTTATTGATGGACATTTGGATTGTTTCTACTTCTTGGCTATTATGAATAAAGTGGCTACAAGCAGGCTTTAAACAATTCTTTTTGTAGACTATTTTTTTCTTTTTTTTTTTTTGAAACGGAGTCTTGCTCTGTCACCCAGCCTGGAATGCAGTGGCGCAATCTTGGCTCACTGCAACCTCCGCTTCCCAGGTTCAAGCAATTCTTCTGCCTTAGCCTTCCAAGTAGCTGGGACTACAGGTGCCTGCCATCATGCCCGGCTAATTTTGTATTTTCAGTAGAGATGGGATTTCACTGTATTGGCCATGCTGGTCTCGAACTCCTGACTTTGTGATCTGCCCATCTCAGTCTCCCAAAGTGCCAGGATTACAGGTGTGAGCCATCGCGCCTGGCCTTATTTTTTTTAAATCTCTCTTGGATAGATACCTGGGAGTAGAACTGTTGGGTCACGGCTTAGAAGCATATTAAACTTAATTAGAAACTGCGATACAGTTTTCCAAACATTCCTGTCAGCATGTGTGGGTGTGCCATTTGCTCCACATTCTTGCCAACACAAGTCCTTTTCAATTTTAGCCATTCAATGCAGTGGCAGAGAGCCATTGCGTTTTTAGAACTTGTTTTTTTTTTTTTTTTTTTTGAGGCAGTGTCTCACTCTGTCAACCCATGTGAAGTGCAGTGATCATAGCTCACTGTAATCTTGAACTTCTGGGCTCAAGAGATCCTCCTGTCTCAGCCTCCGGAGCTGCTAGGACTGCAAGCACATGCCACTGCACCCAGCTGACTTAGTTTTTTTTTTTTTTTTTTTTAATAGAGACAGAGTCTTGATATGTTACCCAGGCTGGTCTTGAACTCCTGGCCTCAAGCAATCCTCTTGCCTTGACCTCCCAAAGTGCTGGGATTACAGGCATGAGTGACCACACCTGGTCCATCTTTAGGACTTTTTTTTTGTAACAGCAGTTTCACTATTATCCTAACACATGCAAGGTAGACATGGGAAGAAGGAGGAATGGTATATGCTTGAAGGTCAGTGGTCATGTTTGTTCCTATGCGACCTGGCTGCGGGCCTCATGAGGAGGCCTTGGCAGGTAATACTGGTTAATTATCTAATAAAGCAAAGGCAGATGGGGTCAGATGGACCTCAGTATAAATTCCAGATCTTACAAGCCACTAGACTGTGACAAGTCACCTATCCCCTCTGTGTTGGGTTCCCTCCATGTTAAAGGAAGATAATAATGAACGTACCTTGTGGTGTTATTCCAAGGCTTTAGTAACATGCTGCACAGGGGCACTTGGCATGCTGGAGGCTGGGCGCCAGTCACAGCTCGGATTCTAGGGCAGGACTCTTGCTCCTGGAGGATGAGCAAGGAAGATGCAGAGCCCCGACCTCTGGACCCTCATTCTAGACCTTTCAGTGGGTTTGGGTTAATAGAAACCTGTCCACCAACACAGCACTGCATCCTTGAGACTGACTTTTCATACAAAGCTGGTGGAAGTTCATGAGGTGAGTTGGAAGTTGACCAACACCAGCTGTGGCACCAGAAGTTCTGATACAAGTGAGGTCGGGAGTGACCAAAAGAAGTCCCCATTGAAGTTGGGCTGGTGGCAGGGAGCAAAGGGGATCACCCATGAAGGAGGCTCAGGAATCCAGCTAGGAGACAGCAAGTGGTTTACTTGGGTGGTCTGGTGATGTCGCTTTAGGGAACACCATGTTTTTTGGAGACATGGGAAGGATCTAGATGTCTAACAGTAGGAATTTGGTTAAATAAGTGATTTGTGTGTGGGGGTAATACTTTGAAGTCATGAAAATGATGCTGAAGGTGGGTGTTTATGTATTGGGAAAGATAATCACCATTTTTTTACACCATTAAGGGATAAAGATATATACCTTATATACTTTTTTATCTTGGCAATTTGCTTTGTTCCTTAACAAGGGGTGGTCCTTTTTTAGTTAAAACTCAGATACATACCACACATACACACACACACGAACGGCTGGAAGAATATACTCCAGGGCCCCTGTTGTTATCTCTGGATAATAAGATAATATAAATGAACTTACTTTTTCTTTCTTCGTGATTATCTGTATTTTCTCAATTCTAACATGCATGAATTTTGTAATTAGAAATTGGAGTTGGCATTTCACACTACAGGGTGCTTATACCTGATCATGGCAAAGGAGGCAGCTTTTAAAGGAAAGGAAATGCATAGTAAAATGGAATTATGCACCCAAATCATTTCTCCTCATCATTAGAGGTGAATGTGTTTGCCACTGTTACGCTGTTAAAGATGACACTCACTTCAGACTGCAAAGAACATGGATGAATAACCTGGAAGTGATCCAGGCATCCGTCCTCACAGGACAGTGTGAGGTTGGAGCTTGGTAAGGCTCAGGCGGGCCCAGAGTAGATGTCAGGACCTTACATGCCAGCTTCCACCTGATGGCGAAGTCTGTGGGGTTAGTTGTCCATTTTCTCTTCATGTGAGGGTTCTGTGGCTGAAAGGATGGGGCCGATTCTCAGACAATCCCAGAGCACAGGAGAGGCCAGAAGGCTTGCAGGCAGGCATAAGAGTGGTGCATGGAATGCCTTCCAGGATGCCTAGGTACCCAGGGGCAGCTCCGGGGGAATATCAGAGCTGAAAATTGGGTCAATAGGTGCTTGCTTTTGTTTCAAATCAAGGCAAGTGGGTTTTGTATGCTCTGTGTACAAATATATTGTTTTGGTAAAGAAATCAGGAAGTGTTGGTAAGTTGCTGTTTTAGAGATGAAGAGTCATGGAACCTTTGCACTGAAAGGAACTTAGGAGAGCATGTACACTCCCCTTTCACAGAAGACTCACCGGAGGCTCAGAGATGTTAAGAGATTTCTCAAGGTCATGGGTAGTTGGCGGTAGATCAGGGCTAGAATCCAATTCCATGACTTCAAGTCTGTCATTCCTCCTGGTTTCCCCACTGCTATCAGTTAAGAAGTTTAAAATACAAACTGTGTTAATGAGAAAAGTGACGTGCTTCACCTAACTGAAAGTCCACAGGACGGTGGCCCGTAAGTGTTGTAAGACAGCAGCTCAGCGAGACCACTGAGGTCCTGGGTTCGTTCACCCCCACACTGTGCCTTAGTTTCATCCTCAGGCTAGTCCCCCGCATGACCACACGTGCATCGCTGACTTTCCCTTCCGCCTCCATTTAGGTCACGTGCTTACCCCACACCAATAACCGCTACCAGGGAAGACCAAGCTCTGATGGGCTTACCCTGACCAGCTCCCACCTCCTGAGCTGGGGCTGGGTCTGCAGGGGAGCAGATACCTGAACAAAATTGGAGTTTTGATAACAACAAAGAAAATATAATTTTACTTAAAGTGATCCAAGGGACACTGAGTCAGCCATTCATGAAGCGGAACATGGTGAACGCCAAGGTGAAGAGCAGCCGCATGAGATCCTAAAGGAAAGCCCGGGAGTCACACAAGTGGAGTACAGCAGCAAACCCCTCCACCGCCTGCCCTTGACTTTGGTCTTGCCAGGGAACAGTTGATGCCGACAAGATGACGCAGCCGGGAAGTGAATATCCTGTCTGCTCCTTGTTCTGTGCTGTCTGTGTGTCCTAGCTTGCCACCCCAAATCAAGGCATCCCTTAAAAGCCCCTGGGTCCAAGCATCCAGATGCTCAGTGAACGCAGTGCTCTAACTCCATCTTCCACCTTCCATTAAGAAGGCAATGACTCTCATTCAATGCAACTCCATCTTCCGCTAACCCCTAAAAGGAATTTACATTCTGCTCATTTCACTTCCCATTATATTGTATTAATCTTCCCATCATTAAACCTTTTAAACCCAATATTTTCAATGTTTTAATCTATTCCACTGAGTTAATAATAGATTTCTACTCTTGCAAAAAGCATTTCTACATTTCAGGGCATTTATTTAGACTGTTTCCAAGCTTTCCTTTTCATAAACAAATGCTGCCACTAATATTCTTATATCTAAATGTTTAACCTATATCTCTGATATCATTGAGCTATATTTCTAGAAGTGTCTTTCTAGTATGAAGTATAGGAACATTTTTGTAAATATTGTTAAGTTTCTTTCCATATTTTGGAAGACCGTCATTAGAAGGATACCTGTGACACTGCACACTTGCCAGCATTGTAAACCATTGGTCTCTGATCATTGACGCTTTCATGGGTCCCAAATTCTTTTTTCCAAAATGCCATTTTAGTCAAAGCTCTTAGAATTGGCTTATGCCTTTTGTTTTGTTATTCCAAGTGATATGTGATACTCTCAGAAGGCTCTCTCCTTTGATTTCCCAACACCCTTTCCCTTCCTCTCGTAAACACACCCTATTTAAGCTGGAAGTGGTGGAATCCCTGGAAGCCTACACTCAGAAATCAGTCCAGCATATTTCTAGGGAGCGAGTTTTTCTGAGAACAGCAATTCCAGCCAGCTAAAACTTACTGAGCATCCTCCGCCTGAGGAAGACACAGTTATCCAGTGGAGTTGGCGTCTTGGGGCCCACACACCTGGGAGGCAGGTAGGTGCCCATGGCAGGGCTGCAGGAGGCCAGGACAAGCAGGGCTGGGAGATACTTAGTGTAATAGATGACTACAGAGACCAGGGAACTGAAGGTCAAAGGCAGGAATATGGGCATGAATGAAGCCAGGAAGCTACTTCCCAGAACAATTAGGCTGTTGCTGAGAATGATAATGATAATGCAATAATTATGATTTACTGTTTACGATTTGCCAGGCATTTTATGTATGTTATTTTGCTTCTTTCCTATAGCAACTCCAGGATATGTATACGATTTATGTCTCCGTTTTGCAGAGATGTGAAATAATGTTCCTAATGCCACCCAGCAAGTTAGGGGCAGAGGGAAGTTTGAGCTTTGGCAGCCTGGACCTGTCGTTCCCACTGCGCCCCTCCCGAGGCGGGAGCCCAGGCAGATGGCTGAATGAGCTGTGGCGAGTGGCAGGCACAGAGGCCACCATCAGGGTTTCTCTGTGACAAGTGTGTGGGGCTGAGCCCTCCCACAGAATGTTTCAGGGTGGACCTGGACCATGTGGGGTTTACAAGGATCAAGTTCCACTAATTAACATCTGCCATGTGAACTCTTGGAGATTTGTGAATAAACTGCTAAGACAGTTGGGTGCAGTGGCTCACGCCTGTAATCCCAGCACTTTGAGAGGCTGAGATGGGCGGATCACGAGGTCAGGAGTTTGAGACCAGCCTGACCAACATGGTGAAACCCCATCTCTACTAAAAATACAAAAATTAGCCAGGTGTGGTGGTGTGTGCCTGTAATCCCAGCTACTCAGGAGGCTGAGGCAGGAGAATCTCTTAAACCCGGGAGGCGGAGGTTGCAGTGAGCTGAGATCATGCCACTGCACTCCAGCATGGGTGACAGAGTGAGACTCCATCTCAAAAAAAAAAAGAAAAGAAAAGAAAAGAAAAGAAAGTGCTAAGACGGGCGTCACAAGGAGTCAGGGAGGTCCTGAAGAAAGTGGCATTTGAGAAAGTGAAGAAGAGCTGGGGAGGTTTTGACAGGCAGAGAAGGTAGTGAAGACATGCCTATCCGCTTATCTGTGGCCTGGGAAGGCTATGAGGAAAGCCAGCAACCCTTAATTGCTCCAGGACTAAGTGCTGAAGGGGCTTTTTAAAGCCTGGATCTGAGAGATCACTCTCTGAGTCTCCAACTGGGAACAGTGACTAGTTAAGCTATCAGTCAAGAAGCTGCCAGCACTTCACTTGGACTGAAAAGCAATTCCCAGTGGAGCCCTTGTGGGCCCCGGGAGATGGGTTTCACAAAATCTCTTCCACCTGTGGGTCACCAGGCTGGCTCTGTTCCCATGCAATAGGTTGTTGGGAAAATGGTCTTTGCCAGAGTGGCAGATGGCCCTTTTATCAGGACTGTACAGGACTTCAGCTGCCAGACTGATTTCTTTTTAAGGTTTATTTTTATTAAAAGCTAAGTGCAGCAGTCTGGGGCAGTGCTGTACAATACAACTTTCTGTGATGGTGGAAATGTTCTATGCTGTGTTTAGTGTGGCAGTCACTAGTCACATGCAGCTATGCAGCAACTGAAATGTGACATATGCCACTGAGATCATGAATTTTTCACTTCACTTAATTTCAATTCATGTACGCTAGTGGCTACTGTATTGGACAGTGTAGGGCTGAGGGATCTTGGGATGAAACGACGAATCATGCAAATTAGCCAACGAATTTGCAGAAACAGCTTCTCTAGTCACGTGCGAAGTTGACAAGGTCCTGGTCATATACAGTAGGAGAATCTTACACCATGTTTCGAAAGGGGACATGCAAACATGTACTTCTAATTAGTAGGTGTGCTGTTCTATAGACCCTGTACGCTAGTAATCAGATGCAGGGGTGACCAGCCAACTTGGGTGTGCAAAGTGTAGAACAGAAAACAAAAGAAATGCTTTGAGATCTCTAATTAAAATTTTCAAGATGTTGCTTTTGATAATTGTGTTGTTGTCACTATCCTAAAGACAGCTATATTTTTCCCCTTTGATCACAGACCATCGAGTTTCATTTTCTTTTGTGGGGGGGTGGGGTGGGGAATAAAGAATTCTTTTCTTTTTTCTTTTTTTTTGATACAGGGTCTTGCTGTGTCACCCAGGCTGGAGTGCGGTGGCATGATCTGGGCTCACTGCAACCTCTGCCTCCTGGGTTCAAGCGATTCTCCTGCCTCAGCCTCTCAAGTAGCTGGAACTACAGGTGCATGCCACCACACCCGGCTAATTTTTGTATTTTTAGTAGAGATGGGGTTTTGCCTGTTGGCCACGCTGGTCTTGAACTCCTGACCTCAGGTAATCCACCCGCCTCAGCATCCGAAAGTGCTGGGATTACAGGCCTGAGTCACTGTGCTCAGCCAAGAATTCCTTTCTTAGTGGGCATAATAATAGCTAGTCTTCATTGAGTGCCTACTGTGTGCCATGTGCCCTCAATATGTTATCTTTCATACTCACATAAACACCCCATGATGGGTGTTACTGAGACCATTTGCATTTGAGAAAACTGAAGCCAAGAGGAGGTAAGCGATCTTATGAGTGTTAGAGTTCCAAATTATGTGTTCTTTATGTTGAGTCCATCTTTAGAACACAAGAAAGTAACCCCACCTGTAAGTTGGAGGTGGTAAAATCCCTAGAAGTCTGCACTCAGAAATCAGTCCAGTTTATTTCTAGGGAGCTAGTTTTTCTGAGAATTCCAGCCATCCAATTCTGGAATCTCTGACACCTTAAATTTCCAAATACAAAAAGTAGTTTGACCTGCACTTCATATAGTAATCACAGGACTGTAAATGATCAGAGCAGGGTGGGAACTTCGAGATCTTCTTGTCAAAATACTTATTTTACAGATGAGACTCTGATGCCAGTGTTTGCTATTTGCCAGGCACTGACTAGCACCACTGACCAACAGTTAGCCTCAGGGCTAACGTGAGGAAGGGGATGGGGCGGGCCAGTTACTTGTAATAATTTATGTTGAATCTACAATTTGGTTGAGTTCCAGAGTGGAGTCACAGTTAACTGTGCAACCGAAAGCAGTTTCAAAACCCTTGGGAAAACTCCCCCATTACCTCCAGACCTTCCTAATTCTATTCTTATTCTCTTTCCCCCTCATTCTATAAGATTTTTATTATATACATTGACATAATTTCTTCCCTAACTCCCCCATCTCTCTAATTTGCTCCTTTTTGCCCTTTACAAAAAAATCAAGAAAACCATATTGTTTGGGTAGATTTTTTCTTTGAAGAGCTGGGGGTCAGGAGAAGGGGAGAGAATGAAAACTCTGGCTGGCAAAGCTAGAGTCCTCTGGATTGCTCAGGGTGTGGGCCCAGGCTGAGAACATTCACATGAGCAATTTCCATCCCATCTCAGTACAAAACACAAATGTGACATGTGACTAGGGAAGACCGAGAAGTTAGCTATACCTTGCTGTGGTCAACAGTTAGCAGCCAACCCAATAAGCCATTCCTTCACACCTTTTTCTTGCTAATAAAACCCTGATTTGATTTGAGTAACAGTGACAGATTCAGATGACGAAACATTACTAGTCTAAGCTAATCGTGACTAGCTTGCTACCTTTCACCAGCTAGTTGATTTACCAAGCTCCCTTGCAGCTGATGGTGGCGATGAGGTCTAGTTTGGCCCAGGACACTGGCAGACAAAATAATGGCATCCCCAGGATGTCTGCATCCTAATCTTCAGAACCTAAGACTATGTTAGTTACATAGCAAGGAGGAATTAAGGTTGTAGATGGAATTAAGTTTGCTAATCAGCTGAAATGAAAATAGGGAGATTATCCAGGTGGACCCAGTATAATCACAAAGATCCTGAAATATTGAAGAGAGAGGCCAAAGATATGGTGTCAGAGAGATGCAGCATGGGAAAGGCTCAACCAGCCATTGATGGCTTCAGAGATGGAAGGGGTCATGAGCCAAGGAATGCAGGAAGCCTCTAAAAACTGGAAAAAGAGGCTGGGCCCGGTGGCTCATGCCTTGTAATTCTAGCACTTTGGGAGGCCACAGCAGGTGGATCGCAAAGTCAGAAGTTCAAGACCAGCCTGGTCAATATGGTGAAACCCTGTCTCTACTAAAAATACAAAAATTAGCCGGGCATGGTGGTGCGCGCCTATAATCCCAGTTACTCAGGAGGCTGAGGCAGGAGAATCGTTTGAACCGGGGAGGTGGAGGTTACAGTGAGTGGAGATTGTGCCACTGCACTCTAGCCTGGGTGACAGAGCGAGACTCCATTTCAAAAAAAAAAAAAAAAAAGTGATGATTAATTAATTAATTAATTTTACATGTCAACTTGACTG